CCGACTCAAAAAAAAAAAAAAAAAGAAAAACAAGCATGAAGGCTGCAAGTCTTGTTCTACCTACACAACTCTAAATGAACCTCAGGAGGAAAAAACAAACTTAAAGCTGCACCTTTTCCCTTCCGCATTTCACCCACATCATACCTTCCTCTTATCCTGTTCTCACAACGAAAGCCACTTAAAACTCTGGGATCTATCTATTCTGTTGGTAGAGCAGACAGACATAAACCAGGCCAAACTTTATAATGGTGGGTAAATTAATGCAACTACTTTTACACTACCTCCATTCCATCCTAATTCAACAAATGCTAAGACAAAGGGGGAAGAATTGCAACCAAATGTAAATTTCACTTGGGAATTATAAATTTAAAATTTTCTTTACTTTTGAGGCTGTCACTTACACCAAAAAACCATAGGTGGTTTTGTTGCTACTGAATTTCAGCAGGGCCCCAAATGTGGTCACTTCAAACTATTAGCACTCCCTGTGCTATTTATGGAACACAGTGCAGAAGCTCCAAAAGGACCCTATGTCCACAGCGGAGCACAGATAATATTCCTTCTGCTCCTCTCTGCCTCCGCATCCAAAGTTGTTGGAATTACAGAGATGGTCCAATGGTTATCTCTACCACCAGGTCTATGCATCATATTATTAAACCACTTTATTATAACGCAAGTGTAGAAGAAAATGCTGTTTCTCTCAGTACAGTGGAGACAGAAATGGAGTTTTTCAGAACAAATGTTTATTTAAGAATTAAGGGCAAACAAAAACATTAAAGCATAGGAATACATCAACTGAATACAAGTTGTCTTGTTTGGTCGGAAATCTTGAAAAAGTTAATCTAACTACTTACCTGAGGTAGATTTAGGTTGGCACTGCTTCAAGGGAACCTCCGTCCATCCCAGAAGTTACCTTCTAGTTTTGGTTAACAGGCTCCCAAGTGGTCCTCTCCAACCTCAGGTTATGCTATATGAATAATACCAATACCTTTTTCTCCCATAGTTAAAAGCCCTCAGCCTTGTTGCATACCCCCAAAGTTCTCATTTGAGGGATGGTCCATCATTAATTTACTTAAAAACTAGAGACAACTACCAGTAAGATTAGTTGAAAGAAGGGTCAAGTCATTGCCCTGTTAATGATACCGACTTGGACCCCTTCTCCATGCTCTCACTAATGACTAACAAGTAGCCATAAGGACTACTTTTCATCACCACCATGCCTCACACCCAATACTATTTTATTACAAATGTCAAACATATACTAGTAATAGGCATGACTTTCACTAAAGAGAAAAAAATATATCCTGTGTGTCTTATCATACTGGGCAACTTTTCAAGGTACAAGAGCTATTTCTAAAAATTATGAAAACACGTCAGATCAAATAAACTTCCAAGATATTTTTCTAAAAGAAAAATACCCTAGAATCAGATTCCTTCTTATCACTATGAGCTATATTCACTGGCCCTAATATTATCACGATCATCAACCAGTCATTATGATCAAAGCTTAGAGCCATACACAAGGTAGCAGTGTAGCAGTTCGCCAACTCCATGAATCCAAATGGCAACACTTTCTGAAGTTCAGGGATCTGCTAGGACAAATCAAACCAAAATCAGAGGATGTGGACTAGCAACAAAATATCTATTCACTAGTCTACAAAGTCCCAAATACTACAGGAATCTGAAATATTCGTATTAAATGTCTTTAAATCTGAGGGAAGAAAAAAACTGAGATGTGACCATTGACATCTCTGGATTAATTATAGTATTTTTAGGGATCACTAAAGACAATCCTAATTATATTTTAAGCTGGAAACAAGTGCTTATCTTTAGGCCTCTGATGAATCTGCCAACTACTTTTCCCTTTTAGCATTTAGAATTCTGCATTCCACGCCAAATATATACCTTATAATGTGGTGATTGCAATCCTTTCCCTGGGATTAAAAGGTATTTTCTCTTTCCTTGGCAGAACTGAAATAAATGAAAGACGTATCATTATGGGTCTTGTTTGCTATGAACAGCAGGATAATGGAGTGAAAAGAACACTAGGTTTGGAGTTAGGATACTCAAAATCAAAGAAGCCTTATTCTTATATTAGTAATGCATCATTATGTGTTTTTACTCTATGCCTACACAGATTTATAAACTTTTCTTTCAGTCTTTCTCTAGCCATTTTACTAGGAGCTGACTGTGGGTATCTATTGCTGAAAGAGATAAGTCACAAAAATACGTATACTAAAAACATCATAACCATTATATGAAGTTTGTACTTTGAGTCAAAAAGAATTTCTAAACTTGAAATTCAAATACCATAATAATTTGAAAGCTATTTTAGGGGAAATAACTTTTCAGAGTATGCCTCAACTGACACTAAGTAAAAAGCGGAGTATGCTGTCTCTTTGTAAGATTGGTCCTGCAAAGAGAAAACTACTAGGAGAGCTGGGATCTGGGATCTTAGTTTTGATCTAGGATAGCTCCTCCCTAGCTTCTTAGTTCATTTCACTGTCAGCAAAAAAAAAAAAAANAAAAAAAAAAAAAAAAACGAAAGAAAAAAAAAAAGAAAAAAAAGACTGCCATGTCACTATCAACACTCTAGTCCCATCCTAGACAAGCATTAAAATACCAACCAAGGCAAAGTCAATATACTCCTTTCCCCCAACAGTAACACATGCCACACCTTCTATCATAAGGTTGCAGTCCTTTCCTTTATTGGATTTCTGAATTTTTTAAAAAGTAAAAGTAAAGCAATCATTAAGTGGTTCAGATAAAAGAAAAGTATCTTTACCTGAGTTACCCATCAGGTCTGCTCTGACCTGCCCTAGCTCCTTCCAGAACAAGCTTCTGGGCATCTAAAAAACTATTTTTCATACTGATTTCATGTAACGTCATCTCTACCATGAGTGAACTTAACTATGAAAACAGTTTTTCTCATACATATTATATGTACACAGATTCTCACCCACAATTAAATCTCTCACTGCAGAACAGAGGTTTCTGAGGCCCGATAAGACAGGAGATTCTACAAAAGGTTTTTTCAGACTCAAGGTATTTATGGGTTTTTTTCACTTATGTGAGTTCCCTGATGTACCACAAGAGCTGATCACTGACAAGCACTCTTCATTCAGACATTTGTAGTCTTTACTCAGATTGGGATTTTTGGGGGTGCAAACCCAAGTAAGGCTCTCCAATGAATGCTTTTGCCATACTCAAGACAAACATACAATTTTTCACCAGTATGGCTTCTCTGATGGGTAAGAAAGTCAGAGTTTTGTTAGAAGCTTTTTCACACTTGCTGGGACTTCTCCCCAGGGAGGGTTTTCTGAGGGCCAATGAGATGTTCATACTGTCTGCAGCACAACTGACACTGAAGGCATTTTAAAAATTGTTCTCCGGTGTGAATTCTCTTACGATGAAGAGGGCTGAGCACTGCTGGAAAGCTCTCTCACACTCAGTGCATTTGTAAGGTTTCCCACTTGTATGAACACTCTTGCGATCAAATTTGAGCTCAGACGGAAAGTTTTCAAACACTCTGGTCATTTGCAGATTTCTCATTGGAGTTGATGGATAAGGTGTTATGTTAGGGCAGCTCTCTGGGCAAAAAATTTCTCATACTTCCAATTGCAGGCTCTCTGGTCCCCACTGAATTCTGAGCTCTGAGCAAAGTCTGAGATTTGCCTAGGGGGTCTTCCTCTTAATCAGTCTCTGATACATAAATAATTTTTAATATTGTTATTACAGCTTCTCGCCTGGTCAAGACAACTCTGAGGCTTCTGATGCACGGGGAGGGCTAAGCTCAAGACCTCTGTCACTCACATTACAGATAAATGGTTTTTCACCAATGTGTACTGTCTGATGTTGAAGAAGGGCTGAGCTCTGGTGGAAGCTTTTATCACATACAGTGTATTTATAGTGTAGCTCCTCTGTCTGAGTTCTCATTTTCTGCTGGGCAACAAAGTCCATACCTAAGAGGAAGCCATTCTCACACGCAGACCACTGATGTGGTTTCTCTTCCATGTGAATTCTCTGATGTACAATAAGATCTGAGCTACAGTTAAAACTTTTCTCATATTCAAGGCATTTAAAAGTGTGTGTGTGAGTTGCCTGGTGCCTAATTAGGTTGGCACTCCGAGTAAAACTTCTCATACATTCCAGGCATTTATACGGCTTCTCACCTGTGTGGACTCTCTGGTGCACGATAAGGTCTGATTTCTGGCCAAAGCATTTTTCACAGGCTCCACACTTATAGGGCTTCTCCCCAGTATGAACTCTTTTATGTACGATGAAGGCTGAACGGTGTCGGTAACTTTTCTCACATTTATTACATTTGTAGGGCCTTTCCCCAGTGTGAGTTCTCTGGTGGCTAATAAGATCTGATTTCCCACTAAAAGCTTTTTCACACTCCAGACACTTAAATGGTTTCTCACCTGTGTGAGTTCTTCGGTGCCTTATAAGGTTTGTACTTCTACTGAAGCATTTATCACACTCACTACATAGATACGGTTTCTCGCCGGTATGGCTTCGCTGGTGGACAAGCAGATCAGAACTCTGACCAAAATTCTTGCCACAAATGTCACATGTATAGAATTTTTTACCTGCATGTGTTCGCTGATGTCCTGAAAGCGCTAAGTGGTGCCAAAAGCTCTTCTCACATTTGCTACATTTATAAGGTTTCTCGTAATTGTGGATCCTCTGGTGTGAAGTAAGATCTGAGCTTTGGACAAAGGTTTTCTCACACATATCACATTTATAAGGTTTCTCTCCAGTACAGGTTCTCTCACACATAATAAGAGCTAACTTTTCACAGAAGTTTTGCTTGCATTCAAGGCACTGGTATAGATGATCATCTATTTGAGTAATCTCACACACATGAATAAAAATCTTTTTACCCTTCCGAGGGCATACATTATATATTTTCCTTTTTTGAGTTCTCTGATTACATCTCTCTTCTGAAGTGAACATTTTCTATGGCTCTCTCCTAGGGAGTTTTCCACTGGTCTTCTTGACCCATCATTGCCCTCGCAGTCATTTTCTTGATAAGAACTTGGAAGAGACATCTGTTTCAGTCATTAGCCTCTACATGTTTCCAGCATCATATACATTAATTCCTTACTTGATATTTCCAACCCTGTGAGACAAAGTAGAAATATTATTTATATTCCTACAACTAAGAAAAGAATTCTCAAAATTAAAATTACTGCAGATAAGACAAATTCTGCATCAGAGTCCCTAAGTCTTCTAGGTTTTACATGGCTTGAAATCAGTTATTTACTTTTACTCTTTGCTAATATAAAACTGATCAGCAGTACATACGGGAAAGTACAAATAAAAATTCTTCCTTCCATGAACCTGGGTGATTTCAAAACAAGAGCTCTTCTCCTTTCCTTGCTTCAGCTGAGAAATCAAGACAGGACTAATAATTATTATGCCTCCTCATGAAGAAAGCAAATCAAAAGGGACTGTGAATGACTATCTCTGGAGTCCCTTTTGCTGAAAGTTTGGAAGAGGTAGTTAACAACCACTAGAATTCCCAGTGCCCAGACAAAAAACTAAGGTTTCGATGACTCTTTCTTCTTAGTGGTGGTATTAGGGAAGTTTCTTAACCACCATGTGCCTCATTTCCTCATCTGTAAAATGGATTAATAACAGAAACTACTTTACACGGTTCCGTGGAATATTAAATCACTATGAATCTCCTGGCAAGCCTTCTGTGTTGGCTCTTACCATCACTATTATTATGACAAAGGGGCTTAAGATTCTGCTTTGATATGATCATATAAGCATGTAACTTGCTCAAAAAGAAAAATCTTGACTGATTACAGATAAAAGCCTGGGCTTGGAACACAGATTTTATAATGGGCTTTTCTTTACATGGTGAAAAGCTGTAAAAAAGTTTTCTTCCTTCTCATTCTGTGATTTAGAGGGATGTACACATACAAAAATACCTAAAGAATCAAGTATCTTTAAAAAAGTTGGGTTGATTCAAGAGAGTTCAGAGGGACTAATGTGTCAATGTACTTAACTACCAATAATAGACTAAAGAACAGAAACAAAAGGAAAAAGAAAGCCATTTTCCTTATCCTTCACACTTAACTCTTCAGTGATCTTTTCATGTTTGACCCTCTCCCTCATACATTCAGACCCTCCCATTTATCACCTTAACACTATAACCTGATAATTCTGCTTCCTATTTTACTACAAAAATGGAAGCAAGTAAGCAAAACAACACATACACAAAAACCAAAATCCCTTCCACGTGCTCCCACCACATCAACCAACTCTTCTAAGTGTGGTCATGTACTGTAGCTTTCCTTCAGCTGCCGAAGATGACAAACTACCCTTGCTCAGTTTAAGGATAGCCTTTCCATCTGAATACTTCCTTTGTTCATAAAAACTTCACTCTAGCAATTCTACCCACCCTCTCTTGCATTATCAATTTATTCTCTCCTATTGGACCATTCCAATATTATTTCTCTTCTAAAAAACAAAAGCATAATCAACAAGAAAATCTCTCAACTGCCTCACACCCAGGCTGTTGTCCCATTTCTCTCTTCCTCTCCACAGTAAAACTCTTCAAAATAAATAAACCTGTTCATTGTCTCCAATTTTTGTCTTCCAAGGTTTCTGGAACATACTCCAATCAAACATTCAACCCTCACTACTCCACAAAACTGCTCCTCTTAGAAACCTACAAGCTCTTAAGAAATCTGACTCCTAGTAACTACTTTGACTCATTTCTCTGCTCTTCCTCTGCTTATTTATTGCACTCCAGTCACCCTGAGTCTTTGCTGTTGTTCAGAGAAGCCAGACTCACCCCCATTTCAGAGTCTTTATGCTTGCTATCTCTTCCTGGCTGAAGGGTTCTTCCTCCAGGAGTCTTCAAGGCTCTCTCTCTCACCTCATTCACATCTTTGCTCAACTGTCACATTCTCAGTGAGGTCATTTCCAACCACTCTATTCTAAACTATACCACACCTCCATCCCAGCTGACTCACAAACAACACTCCTTTCCTATTTTGTTTTTCTCCATAGAATGTAAGCCCCTAAGAGACAAGGATTTTTGGCTCATTTAATTCACTACTGTTTCCAACACTTAGAATGGTGCCTGGCACAGTAGGTACTCAAACCTAGCAGAGGAGTTCTTACTTGGCATCCACAGACTCCTAGGTAATTTATGAAACCTTTGAAGCTGACTGCAAAATGTTCAGTGTATGTGCATTTTTCTGGGGAGAAGGTACACAGTTCTTTCGATTATCAAAAAGATGCAGTATCTAAGAAACTAGATATTAGATTGGAGCCTATCTGTAAAGGAAACAATATTAAAGCTCACTGAATACAGCATATTCATAAATGTAATGGACCAGAACACAAATGAACACTTGCACGCAGAGAAAACAGGAATTCAAAAGGATCTAAAAGACATGGTACTAACATAGTTACCTCTGGGTAATGAGATGACAGATAATATTCTGTTTCATCAATTTGTTAACTGCAGTTTTCCAATTTCCATTCAGCAATCAGTATGCTTTCCTTGCAAAAGGCACAGAGACTGCTACTTTTACGGTAATAAGTAAAAACTATTTATAAATATAAAAAGATAATTTCAAATGTCAACTCAGAACTGTTCTAAAATTTAGTTTTAGGGGATAGGGGAAAGAACCAAATGAGGTGGGAGTAGGCAGTTTCTTCAGAATCAAAACACGGATTGACAAGAAATGTAGTATTGTGACCACAGAGGGACATAATGGGAGAAAAATGCACTGCAAGGCTAACAAGAATAGGGAAGTCAAGACTGAAGCAGACAAGCTAAACAAAACAGAAATGCTTATGCTGAATACAGTGATTATAAATCCTACATTTCAAATATTCAATATATCCATGATCTATGAACTGTCCTAGAAATTACTGTTGGTCCAAATTACATCTTTCAGGTAACTTTCACAGTATCACAGAAGAATTCCTTAGACTACAAGACCAGAGTACACTCTGTCACTGTCACAATCTCAATCTTCAAAGCCTAAAGTATCACAAGCATTACTCCTATTTCCTTTTATTACGTTGAGTTCACAGAGCTAAATGCCACGTATCTGTTCTTGCCTTTAGTCAAAGGAAGTGAGCAAAGGACTTATACCAGGGCTGGATTCCAGGTCTATTCCACCTATCACCTGCCTCACCTCAGTTTATGGCAAATCCGTCCTTTACTTCCTCAGGCTAAAACCTTGGAGTTATCCTGCACTCTTAAATCAACAGATTTGTTGGCACCATTTCAAAATACATCCAGAATCTAACCACTTCTCACCAGCTTTTGTTGTTACCATTCCAGTCCACACCATTCATTTCTTACTTTTACAATAGCCCAAGAGGCCAACTTGAGCAGCCCAACTAACCTGTCACTGCTTCTCCGACATCCTTTTATATTCTTCTTCTCTTTGCATATTCTAATCCAGCCACAATGGCTTCCTAGCTGTCCCAGACATACTCCCCGAAGGGCCTTTGCCCTTTCTTTCTTCTGCCTATAGCTTTCTTCCTCCAGGTGTGTGCATGAATTTCCCCTAATCCCTTCAAAGAATATTTTTTCAGATGTCACTTCTGAGGAAGGCCTATCCTAATCACCCTGTTTAAAGTTATGAATAGTCTTCATGGCTCAGCATTCACTACTCCCCTTGTCTGCTTTACTTTTCTTCATGGCACTTAACACCTCCTAACATACTATATAATTCACTTTATTTAGTTTACTGTCTATTGCTAAAATATGGCAAGGATGTTCGTTTTGCTTGATGATCTTTCCCTACCATATAAAGTAATGTCAGGTACAAAGTTGGTGCTTAATAAGCATCTGCTGAGTGCACGAATGAATTCTCATTGAAATTCTACTTGTCTCCTTGTCTGATAAAAGGACTGAATGCCACAAAGAATGGGAACTACTCTGATGAGATGGAGTCTGGGAAATAGAAGGGACAAGTCAAGGCTGAAGTAACTGTAGCTTACCTAGAATCCAGATGGAAGAAAATGTACATTGTTGATCCTGAGATTTTGACTTCTCAAGGAAGATAGCATTCTGTAAAACACAAAGACAAGAAAGGGATAAAAAGCCACAAATGAGAGAGTTTAGCACTAGATCATTTATACTCAAAGGACTTAACAATGAGTAAACTACAGTTAAAAAGAACAGATGGATTTTCTTATCTAATCCCTTAAATTCAATTCTGTAGAGTCTTAAATCATCCCATACGACTCTTTGGAGAAAAGGACAATACAGAATCTACAACCCATCTGCATCATCTATAGCTTCCTTCGCAACTGTATCAACATTGAAGGAAAGGACTCCTAACACTAAATCTCGGTGGTATTTTGAAAACACTAAGGAATTATCTTTCCCACAGGAACTCAGGCTGTCCTGATCCAAAGTATAATATAGACTACAAAGTATTTTTGAAATAACAAAATTACCACCTCTGGAACCCACATAATCATCACAATTTTGGTTATTCAAAATTTATAACACCCTGTTGATTTATATCTCAACCACAAACAACCCAGGAGGTGGTCAATTAGGGGCACAAAAAGAAGCTGATGGTCCACATTTAACCAATGATATCTTTCTCTAGAAATTTTCACCTGCCTTATCCTTAGGTTAATGGGACTTTCAGTTCCCTCAACAACCTTCCTGTTACTAAGGATCAAAAGCAAACATGGAACTACTTGGACTCAGATAACACATGGGATATACAGTTGACGCTCTCTATGGCACTTAGCTCATAGCTGCCAGTATTAAAATGACATTTTAGGATTCTAGTTCCAGGTAAGATGGAGTAAACACGTGTCACGAATTAAGTTATCCCATTGAATCCAACTATAAAGTCTGGACAGAATGTACAGCCCAGTTATTTGACAACTTTGCAAAGTCCATAGCATGCATGTCAGGAAAGACCAGAATTTAAAATGCCATTCAACCAGCAGGGATTTTACTTTTTTTTTTTCCTTTTGGTCCTCATCAGTATCCTGGGGCCTAAACACAGAAGTGAGGGAAGTTGTAAGATGTAATTGTCAAGTGAGACTTTTCAGAAAACCTATAAGCTTTCATATCATTTATTGATTTGTTTGTTTTGAAGTTCCAGGGTACCTGTGCAGGCTGTGCAGGTATGTTACATAAGTAAACGTGTGCCTATGTAAATGTGTGCTGCACCTATCAGCCCATCACCTAGTTATCAAGCCCAGCATGCACTGGCTATTTTTCCTGATGTTCTCCCTCCCTTCCATCCTGCTACAGTCCCTGTGTGTGTTGTTCCCCTCCTTGTGTCTATGTGTTCATGTTGTTCAGCTCCCTCTTATAAATGAGAACATGCAGTGTTTGCACACCAATTATTTAAAATTGGCTGGCCATGGAAGTCAATGGACAGAAAACTGACTTAAATATAAAAAAAGGAAAAAAAAGAAAATATCTCTGGAGGAAATATAAAGAACGTGATAATAAAACAAAGCCAGAGGAGATAATGGTGGCTACAGAAATCCAAATCTCTCAACACATGCTTTAAAAGCATTAAGAATAACAACACAGAATGGGAAAAAATTTTGCAATCTACCCATCTGACAAAGGGCTAATAACCAGAATCTACAGAGAATTTAAACAAATTTGCAATAAAAAAAACCAAACTCATCAAAAAGTGGACAAAGGATATGAACAGATGCTTTTCAAAAGAAGACATTTATGCAGCCAACAAACATATGAAAAAAAGTTCATCACCACTAGTCATCAGAGAAATGCAAATCAAAACCACATTGAGGTATCATCTCACACCAGTAAGAATGGTGATCATAATCAGGAGACATCAGATGCTGGAGAGGATGTAGAGAAAGAGGAACACTTTTACATGGTGGGAGTGTAAAGGTAGGAGTGTAAATAAGTTCAACCATTGTGGAAGACAGTGTGGTGATTCCTCAAGGATCTAGAAACAGAAATATAATTTGACCCAGCAATCCTATTATTGGGTATATACCCAAAGGATTATAAAACATTCTATTATAAAGACATTTGCACACGAATGTTTATTGCAGCATTGTTTATAATAGCAAAGTCTTGGAACCAACCCAAATGCCCATCGACAATAGACTGGATAAGGAAAATATGGCACGTATATACCATGGAATACTACACAGCCATAAAAAGGATGAATTCATGTCCTTTGCAGGGATATGAATGAAGCTGGAAACCATCATTCTCAGCAGAGTGACGCAGGAACAGAAAACCAAACACTGCATGTTCTCACTCAAAAGTGGGTGTTGAACAATGACAACACATGGACACAGGGAGGGGAACGTCACACACTGGGGCCTGTAGGGGGTTAGGTGAGCTAGGGGAGGGCTAGCAGAGGGTGGGAGGATTGTGGAGGGATAACGTCAGGAGAAATACCTAATGTAGATGATGGGGGGGATGGATACAGCAAACCACCAAGGCACATATATACCTATGTAACAAACCTGCACGTTCGGCACATGCACTCCAAAACTTAGAGTAAATTAAAAAAAA